AACTCCTATATGGCAATTCAATGTTTAAAAAATTAGGATTAATTATTTTTACATACATGACAATAGTGGAATGCATTACACTCATTATTACCCATTTACAGCACAATTTTTCATAACTCTGTATATAAAGTATGGCTGAGGTTGTGGCTCAGCGGTAGAGCGCTCGCCTAGCACAGGCAAGGCCCTGGGTTCGATCCTCAGCATCACATAAAAACAAAGATATTGTGTCCTACTACAATTTAAAAATATATATATATTTTTTTAAATGTGTTTTCTAAAAAAATATTTACAACTAAATCTGGCTAGTGACTTTTTCAATGCCCTGAGAGTGAGGATTTAATAGAATGGAGAGATAAAGATTTAATAGAATGACACAAGTGTGCTACAATTCCATGTCCTACTACATTTTTCATAAAAACTCAACACTTGAGTTTGTTGCATATCTCAATCACCTATAATTAGAAGACAATATAGCATGTAAAAATAACATTCTTACAGTCTTACAAAAGAATAAGCCTGTTAGTAAATTAAAACAAAAATAATTTTAAATCTCTGGACATGCTATTGTCTTCCTGGCAAGTTTTGCTTTCTACCAGAACTACAGATAATAATCTAACAAGATAAAACTACTCCTTGGAAAATTTTAAAATTATTTTTATATTAATAGTTTAATATTACTTCTAATTGTCTTGGAAATGATTCTTAAAAATTAAAAGAAAATTAAAAGGAATATCAAGTTCACATTCCTTCTTCATGTGAACAATGCAATTGTTTTTCTATCCCTACGATCATAAGCTCTTTGATGAGCAAACTCAATTATTAATTTTAGTATCAGCAGAGGCCTTGTGCAATACAACTTCTCATAAATGTTTAAAAATTTTATAATAAGGGAATGATTAGAATTGAATTTTCTTAATATTAAGTACAACATTATCCATATTTTATTACATTCTGAATTTTATCAACTTTTAAAGCATCACTCATAATTTAGATTAAACTACCAATACCTGTAAGAAATATACACTATAAATTAAGTGAAAAAAATGATACATATCATAATCACCTGAAGTACAGATTTTAACCTATTACCCATCACAGCAAGATGTAAGAGGCAAGGTTTGGTTAATTTTTGATTGAGCTAAATACCTTAACATAGGGACCAAGAGTTAAGTGGCCACAAGCCAAAGCTAAGAGACAAGGTCCTACAATTCTCCCAGAAGCTAGTTAACCAATACAGAAAGGACAGTCAATGTTATGTATTTAAATCATAATCGGTCACACAAGCCATGTATGGTACACATGTGATTGAATAAAAGCCATGCCTTTTCAAAGAAACACTATCATAATACTATTTGAAAATAAGAATGTTCTAGAAACTCCAGATTCCAAAAATCAAAGCTCTTTCCACTGTGTAATGTCACCTCTCACTTGACATCTATACTCAGGTAAATACCTAGTTTAAACTGAACTAGGTATTAAAATTATATGGAGAAAAGTATTGTCAATTACCTTTGAAAATTAACTGAAAAATAAATGCCAAAAACAAAAGTTCACAGAAATAAAACTCTATTAACTAGAAAACACAGGAATGAGCAAGTGTTACCACCTAATCTATATTTTAACAAGATTCTGTCACTGTTGAGCGGCAAAGCCCACATGCCAGTACCAGCTGGGGTACTGGGGCAGGAAAGGAAAATGAGATTAGCCAAGACCCCAGAGAAGGGAGGAAGCTGCCAGGCCAGGTAAAGGCAGTCAGGACTTAGTAACTGCACATGAGTAAGAGGAGCAGTGACAACGGCCCCTGTGGACCACGAGCTCACTGGCTGTTCCACCACACCTCGGCTTCCTACCTGCTCCAGTACCATGGAACTGGCCTTCCCTGCAGCCATGGAGCCAACTCCTGGCGGAGCAGGGAAGCAGCTGTGAGAGGCAAAGCCCCTGCTCTCAGCCATATGCTCCCTCATAAACCAGCACAAAACAGACCTGAACCAAGAGACCCTCAGAGGCATAAGTGGAGCATCTCTCAGAACCACCAGGACCCAGGAGGACAGGGAGTCACAGGCAAGATTAGCACTCGCAGCAGTCCAGAAACATAGGGCCAGAGATGTGATATGCACTGCACAAGGCACGTTCTCCTCCCTGCTCCAGGGCATGGTCTCCATCCTTAGGACGTCTTAAGCCCTGGGAGCAGCTACTGAGACAAACATGCTTTAACCTGTTACTGCCAACGCACTTTGAAGGAGAACAGCAGCTCAGCAACAGTCTATGACACAGGCATCTCTCAGGTCAAGATCTTGTCTACACCACTTTCTCAGGAAATTAAAACCTCCTTTAGATGTATTGTGCAAAATGTGTCTGGTTCTAACAGTCACAATGAGTAGTCTTTGGGTAACAAAACAAAAATTAGGTAGTATTTTTTTCCTGTCTCATCTTACATACTTTTGTGATTCATGATTTCCATGATTTGCTTTTTCAGATAATGTTGAGACCCTCCTGTTTTATTCCTGACACCTTATGAAAACCATGCTTCCTTCATGGGCCCAAGATGATGAGAGAAAAGCTTCTCAACTACAGAAATCAAAGGCATTGCTCTAAAGGAAAGCGTTTCCTAGTTGAGTGTGACTTGTGTATCACAGCACTTTTAACATTAAACACAATCAGTATTACTCAGGAATTCAAGAAGAACTATTAAAGAACAGACTTTGTAAATAACATTGATTATGGGAAAAGTAGGTAATGAGGTAACACACAAGGTTTTCTTTGGTAAATTAATTTGTAAGAAAATAATGTCATGAAGATTAGTCATTCCTTTCTAATCCATTATCTTAGGAAATGGGGATCTTCAATCCAGAGAACCTAATGCATGTAATTTATTAACTCAGAGGTCAATTTGCTTCACAAAAGAATCGCCATTATAGCACCATATGGAGTTTGAAGGCGACATCAGAAGACTCAAGGAGAAAAGATATAGGCATCCAGGGAGTCCAAAAGATGATTCCTATGAGTCCCAGTAGCATCCATTGAACAAATAAAACCAGAAGGGATCTTTAGCCTGTTCACACTCTCATGATTAAAATGGTTGTTACAGTAAAAACAGCTATTCCTCTGGTAAATATCACGAACCACCCCAGAAGTCCTCCAGGACCCCCACAAATCACTCAGACCACCCCAACCTCCAGCACTATGGCTAGGAGCCAATTGATTTGCTAGTAGTTATGTCAAAAAAGTTGTGAAATATTTTGAATATCATTCCTGAGTATAACCAAAACTCCTTAACTAAGAAAATCGTTCTCGCCCCTAAAATTTTATACAATCTTCACTTGAGCTATTCAAGTGTTTTCTTCCTAAAAACATACTAATAGCAAGAAGTAAAATTCAGCTGCATGAAATATATTTCTTTCCTATAGTAGATTTTCTTCAAATTACACATCCTAATTAGTGGCATATAGCAGCTATGCTGGGTTCTATGAAATGGTCTTCCACACATCACACGAATGACCACTTTCATCTTTGATAGAAACTTTCTAGATAGAGAACTCAAATTTTAATTCAGTAAATTAAAACATGTGGATCTATAAATTCTAATAAATATCTTAAAAACACAATTCCTAAAATACTGTCTAAAAATCACTTCCTATTACACACAGAATATTTAGAGCTTGCTTAGTACAATCTTATGATTTTGGTGAGATAAAATATCTTTTCAAGGCTATTAATTTAGAAAAAGCAGCTTAGCAATATAAAGTTAAATTTTGGGCAATTTGGGTATGTTGTTATCCACGAAGATAGCAATACACATTTTTCTAGACACTAATGCAAAAGATTTCTCTTTGTAAAAATAGATTTGCATTTCAAAATTGATATAGCTCAGTGATATTTAATGATCAGGAAAGGTTATTGCAGACGAAAATTAACTGTTGAACTGTTCTTAATTTAAGTCTACAAGTTTTGCATGAAAACACCGATATTTTAAAGGAAATTTTATCTATTTTATCTATTTTGATACAGTAATTTCAACCTTTGTTGTAAATGAAAAGCAGAATCTGAAATATTAAAATACAGATAATGCATAGGGTACTTTGTAAAATAAGCTTTTAGTCTAAAATTTTTTAACTATAAGGGCTAAAAATGTTACAACACAATAATCCCTCATTTCTATGGAACCATGTATTAATCTCTTATTATCCCAACTAGAATAATGGTTCAAAAATTAGAGCAATACATAGATCATTAATGACGAAAGAAAAATTTTGGTCGAGTTCCTGGAAATAATCCAGCTTATTAAACTAGACAACATTGCAGCACTTAGCATGCCCCTAAAAACATTGAGAGAAGACACAAAAAACATGACCAAAAATTTATCCTTCTGCTTAACTGTAAACTGTATGAATTAGCTAGGAATGGGTAGTAGCCCACTCAGTAAGAGGATGTCTTATGGAACATACAGTAACCAGATAGACTTTTGAAGAAAAATATCTGCATTTGGAAACAGAATAAAAGTTTTGATTTTAAGAAAATTAGTTATTTGCAAAATTATAACTGAATTAAGTCATATGACTATAATTTCATCACCTAAAGTATGTAAGTGCCATGAAATTTTACTCGCTATACAACAGCTTAGAAGCTTAGAACGTAGCCACACAGTTATAGGCTTTTAACAATAAATGGTCAGTGACAAAGAGCCATGCACAACACAACCAGTCAGGACAAGAACAGAGCTCAGAGGACAACACAGGCAGACACACAGATGCCCCAGGAAGGCTGCTTACAAATGTCGACATGAGCACGAGAGGCAGCCACACAGACCACATCGCACCTGGGTTTCTTTTTTCAAGTCTTTAAGATATGACAGGGTGCTAGGTAAAGCACAAGATCAACCCCGAGGAGTCACAAGTGAGAGCCACTGACTTATCTCCGCAAACAAGATTTCCAACACCTGTAAGAGCCGCTGTCATGCGGCAGCTGAGCACACTAAAATACTCAGTCTAAAGTGTACTTGCCCCTTCCGACTTCTCCACCGTGTTAGCCAGCATCTCCTGCAGGGCCCGCACCGAGAGGGACTGCTCCAGCACAAAGGTGCAGATGGACAGATCCGGGGGCACATTCTGAAAGCAAAGAGGGAGAGCTGTGAGTATGTCACCAGCGTTAAGCACCTAGGCCCCACCTCTGCCTTCGTGTCCTCCAGCTGCTGTCACAGAAAGTGATGGTGCTTGCTACCTCTGTCAGCTGCCCATCACCACCACACACTGTCATTACTGTTCTCGTTCAATGCATTTTTTTAATATTTATTTTTTAATTGTAGTTGGACACAATAACTATTTTTTTGAAGTGCTGAGGATTAAACCTAGGGCCTCACACGTGCTAGGTGACTGCTGAGCCACAATCCCAGCTTACATTCATACATTCTTAAATTCAGGTAACCGCAGCTGCCACTCCTGGAGTGTGTACCCTGACACATGCTACCCTGGAGCTTTGTCTATAGCTCCTGTGGTTCTCCACAGCAGGGATTATTACTATCTTCAGTGGACAAGAAAACAGAGGTTAGGCCACTTTTCCAAAGTTACAAAATATTCAAGCCAGGATTGAAATCTAGATTATTTCAACTCATATATTCGTTTCTAAACTACCAAGCATTCTGTTGATTTAAAAAACAACATCTAAAGGGCAGAGAAATAATACTTGCCTCAGGTTAATACTGTAATTAAGCAAATATAAAATTGAACTAATATGCAATACTCATTTACACAGCTTCTCCTTATGCACAAAGATAAATACTTTCTTCTCATTGGATGTCATATTTTGCCTTTAACTTGGGATGTACTTATTGGGCTCCCCATTCTACGCATATGTGTGCTGTTTATTTTCTCACCAATGATTTTCCCTTCTCCTTTCTGTTAGTCTTCAAATCCAATCAATACCCATTACATTCTAGAAATCTCAAAAGGTGACTATCAATGAGGTGAAGGAACCAGAATAAGAACTGATTGGTTAATTAGAACTCAGCCTTCTTAATCATGCAAGCTTCTCCACTTGAGGTAAGCAGGATCCTGGGCAGGTGCTCAAAGATGATCTTCATAACAAAAGAGCATTATAAATACATTGGATACATAATAAAACCAAGACAGTCTCCTCCATAAAAGGAATATTCTGAGGATAAACCTGATACATCAGAATTATAATTTTGTGAGATTTATTAAATTAAGCCACTAGCGCTGAAATGATTTCGTTTGTCATTAGCAAAGAATGCTTTATGGTTTGAAGGAAAAACAAAATACCAGGGGTCCCGAATTAACATTAAAATTATCTTATGGGTTAATGAAGCACACCATCAGACCACAAGTTCTATTTTAACCCAACAAACTTTCCACGGTTTATTTTCTAATGGACATCCTCTGGATTGTTCCTTCTGCCTACCATGGGCTTCTCTGCCTCAACTTGGTCAGTCTTCACCTCACATGACAATCACAGCCAGTGGCCCAGGGCTATTGCTGTTCTCCCTTGCAGTCAGCCAGAGAAGCATTTTCTTTCCAAAATCTTGAAATAAAAGACTGAAAGCCAAATTTCTACTATGAAATTTATGAATAAATGTTTCTAAATTTGATTTTCTAAGGTCTAACTATATTGACTACAGTCTTTCCTCTCCAGATCAAGACAAAGCTACGAGGGGAAAAATCCATTAATGGAAGTGCTTATTTCATTCACATCCATGCCAGAAAAACTGACAGGTAGTGCTGCCAGGATGCTAGGTTACTAGCTGGAGTGCTGGTGAACTGGCTCAGAGGAGGGGTATCCACCTTGATGTTCAGCATCTGCCCATTCTTATGATATCAATACCCCATCACTGTGGACATTACCATATCACAGTTTGTAATAGAGCTCACAAAGCCATCTAGTACTTAACAACCAACTCCCAACATCTGCATTATCTCTAGCTCACCTTTGGAATGATTTCAGACCAATATTCATTAATTTTTTTTCAAGTCAGCCTATTAAGAGAGCCAAGTGCATGGATTCTATAAACAGACCATCTGAGCAAGAATCCCGGCCTCACTACTTACTGGCGGTTAACTTTTGTAATGTTTTTATTTCCTTCCCTGAAAGAATAGCATAATATTCATACCACCCTAATAAGACTGTTGTTAAAAACAAATGAAGCAGCATATGTGACAAGCTTATCACGATGTTAAGAACACAGCAAGAATTCAAAATAAGCAAACCAGCTTGTTTGTCTCATTTATGAGGACTTCTCTCCAGTTAGGGCATGTGAAGTACCACTCATTTCTTAGCATTGTTCTTACCTGTATTCTACTTTGACAAATAGTAGAAAATACAGATTTGTGCTTATATCATCCTGAATGTTCTGGTACTTTCACAGCACTTTCTAGTTAAATGTTTACAGTCTGAGAATTGTAAACTGTTTCATGCCTCACTCTGATGGAACCCTTCAAGTAGGAACTGCCTGATTCTCGAAAACCACAGAGGTTTGGAGAGTTCATCCTGCCCAGCCCACTTCCTGTTTCCACAGTGACAGTCCTGCTGCAGGGACTCTCAGAAAGTGGCAGTCAGAGGGCAAAGACCTTCCAGAGAGCCTCAAGGCAATGCTTTTTAGACCACATTCCAGCTCCACTGGGCTGCACCCTTCTCCCCATACAAATGTAACAGAAGAGTTGTTGACATCTGGAAAACCTGAAGCCATACAGAGCTTTGTGAGACACTCTACATTTTGCTCTCAATAAAAAGGCCCTACTTATCCTAGGCATCAGAATAATTTCCATAATTTGGTACCACTTAAAGTCAACTCTGAAATGTATTCCTCAGATCACATGCATACTCTTCCCAATAACCTTGACATGTTTACATTATACTCACTATAGCACTGATACTGAGCCTTTGTTCTATATCCTAAAAATCAGGCTGGTCACTGGATAAAAAAAGGGTCCTAGTCATTAACCAAAAACCAATTGAATGACTCAGACCTAAGCGACTCCCAGAACCCATATAACAGAGAAGGCCTAACATCTGTGAACCTCTGTGGTGGAAGCTCCAACTTACAAACCCTTACACAATATCTTTAGTTTTAAATTTTTTCTCAAGTCTCATTACTGAGAACAAAGTCCATTTTTAGAGCTTCACTTTGAAAGAACTCTGCTTGCCCTTCCTGTAAGCATGCTCCCAAACCATAAAAGAAATCCTTAGCTACATGATGGGCTCTTCAGGATGCTCGTATCACAGCAGAACATCCAGCCGTCATCATGGCTGAGCATACACAGCCACCTGCCTCTCAATCACAGTGATTCAGGCTGTGTGAACATCTGCCCCAGTTGCCCAGAAACTGCCCCAAGCAAGTAGACAGGTGGTTCATGCTTGTCTTATGGAGACACCAGTTTCATCCAGATATGTGGGCTTTGGCAAAAGCAAAAACTAAGCTATCAGCATAGCCATGTGCTTCCTCTTTTCAAAACACAAACTGGTTACTGTTCTCATCCTGGCAAATATCACGTAATCTTAGGAGGAGGAAAGTCTCTAGAGTAACCTCAAAGCAGCATCTGGCCTGCTGGCACTGGACAGACCATGTAAAATCAATTAGGTTTCCTATCGAGGTATCCATCAAACATTTGGCTTCCACAGATGTGTCTGCCTAATTCACTTAAAGTCCTATTGAAACATGACATTGCCTTAACTGAACCGCAACCAACCATTTAGGACTGTAATCGGCATCAAGCTGCCCCTATTACTGTTGTGTAAAAACTGAACACTTATAAGCTACTCTTTCAGAATCCCAAGGCCTTTGTCCACATCTTTTTCACCCTCAGCCTGAAATGGCCACTTCCAGGTCTCCAAAATATGAAAAACATTCATATTTTCAAATCACACAAAAATGGAAGCACTTTAAAAACATTTTCCTTGCAGAGAAGTCAAACATTGAAAATTGAAAATTATCTTTAGTTACAAATTAGTTATAATTATAACTAATTATACTCATTTGATTCCCTGAAGGAACTACTCAACTTTTTGGGTGTACATCTTTCCAATCCTGTTTTTGACACATTTACACATATATGCTTATGTGGAAAAGCACAGACTGGCTCTTCCCATTAATGGGCTCACCGTATACAAATTATAGTTCTTTAATTCACTAATATACTCCAGATACCACTGCCTGTTAGTAAAGTAACATCACTTCATTCAGCATGACTGCCATAAAATCTAGAGGCACTGGACTCCCACTGAAGGCGGCTCACATTTGCTGCCATGCCGCACCAGCTGGGCACTGTGGGTTCCTCACCACCACACCAGCCTGGCACAGTGACTCACCCAGAGAAAGTGCTCCATATTTGATCAACTGACCTATGCATTTATCCTATTTCTGGAAAACTAAATAAATGTCCAAATAGGAAGTTACAGCCCTCATGGCCAGACTCTCTGCTTTGGGTTTTAGTAAACCCCTAGCAGCTTTCTACTAATTGGCAAATAAGTTAACCATTCACACCATCTTTCAACTGTATTCCAAGTAACCCACAAGGTAATACTGATACCCCCAAATGTTGTAAGAATTAGCAATGTGTCAAATCTTGATAGTTTGACAGCATGAAGCTAAGGAGAAGGGTCTTGGAACTCAGGTCCCTCCGTAACTAGCCAAGGGCCTTTCTCAAAGTCGACCTGGGCTTCCCTAGCAAGGGGAAAAATACCTATCTACCTCCAGGAATTGGTGAGATTCAAGTAAGACAATCAATATTCTATAAACTGGAAAATGCCAAGATTATAATTTTATCTGTCCCATTTAAGAAAGCCCTAAATTAAATTGAAAGCTCAAAATTTCAGAGATATAAATGAAGAGAAAAGCTGCCCATCTCCTAAAAACTGTGAAGACGGCACACTGCAATGGCAGATGGCCTGGAGCCAAGATAGGTTCGTTTCTGCTCAGCTACCCATCTGCTGAGCGGCCCTGGGCAAGGCACTGGAACTGCTGAGGTCGGCTTCCCCCCAAACCAGAGGGATGTCAAACTATTCCAGAAGACAAACTTGTTAATTTACCACCTGCAGACACAAACCAGGCCAAGTTCACCCACCACAGGGGGAATAACAGCCTACAAAATGTATGTTC